TTTTTTTTGGCTTCCGATGTGTGTGTATGTGTGTGTGACTCCTAAGAAGGCTGGCTGTCTACTAGAGAGTACAACAGACAATATTTTTTTGGTCGTAAACCGCTGCATTTTTTGTTTTCCCCAAAAAACTACCAATCCGATTTTTGAAAAAACAAAAATGTTCACAAGAAATTTGATAAGACCCAGCTCTACCCCTGTTTCATACGCCTATTGTCCCTCGCATAGAAAGGAGAAGAGAGAAGCCACATATGAAAGCAGCGAGCCAGATGAAAGCGCCGCTGCCGACCCGTTTAGCCACCCTTCTTCTTGGACACACCGACGGTACGGCCACGGCGGCCGGTCGTCTTGGTGTGCTGGCCACGGACGCGGAGGCCCCAGTAGTGGCGGAGACCACGGTGGGCGCGGATCTTCTTGAGGCGCTCGAGGTCGTCACGGAGCTTGGAGTCGACACCGTTGGCCAGGATCTGCGAGTCCTTGCCGTCGACGATGTCGCGCTGCCTGTTGAGGAACCACGAGGGAATCTTGTACTGGGTCGGGTTCTGGATGATGGTGACGATACGCTCAAGCTCTTCCGAGGTGAGCTCACCGGCGCTAGAAGAAGAAAAAGAGCACATGTCAGTTCGCTTTGCTCTGTTTTTATGTGCGTCTCGAACCAAGTCTGTTCGTCCCGACGCTGGGGAGAAGATGTGGGAATTGGCATACCGCTTGGTCAGGTCGACATCGGCCTTCTTGCAGACCAGGTTGGAGTAACGACGGCCGACACCCTTGATCTTGGTCAGGGCGTACATGACCTTCTGCTTGCCGTCGACGTTGGTGTTCAGAAGACGCAAGATCTATTTGAATCGAGGTTAGCCCTTCTATTCTTCGATTTCTCCCCTCATTGCCATTGTCCGCATCTCTGTCTCCTTCTCTTATCGTCTCCATGACGGGTTGTTCGCGTTCTCGAAGTTGTGCGTGCATGCTTGCGCCAGCCCACTGGCTCAACCCGCCCGCCAATCTCCCAGGAAAGTTGGCGACAAGGGGGAGAGAATTGGGAGACGGATGGCAGGACAGAAGAAAAGAAAAGGATGACGGTGATGACTTACGAACTGGAAGTTCGTCTTATCTCCCGAGACGAGCGACATGATGGGCAACTGTATCGGGCGTTGCCGTGTGCTCGTTGAGATTATCGATGAAGTTCGGGGTTCAAGGATTCGAAGAGGAGGTCGTGGATTTGGCTTCCCTTGACTAGATGTGGTGAATTTTCCTTGACCTTGTGGGGCGTGAGTAGGGCAAGACGTGGTGCGCGCCAAAAGAATTACAAGTCACGTGCAGTGAGCGCACACAACCTTTTGGTCATCCTTGACCTACCCTCATTCGGTGACGGTCAAACTCATCTTCCGCTCCCCGCTTTATGCTCGTCTCTTAGTCAGCGCACTCAGCGGGTGAACGTTGGAACAACCCCCGGCCACATGCAGCCATACTCCTCCTCGTCACGGCTTTTTTCCCCCTCTTTCTTCACTGGCCCCCTCGCATAATAATACTCCGTTCATCACAATCAGTCGAGTGCGATGATATCCCGCGCGTGCCATGAGTGAAGCCGAGAGGGGGGCTACAAGCATCACCGCATGTCTCTTCTTATACCCGGCTCCTCACTCGAATACAAGGTAGGACAGTCCACGTAGCATTACCGTGCCATTGAGTGAAGTGAAGCAATATGACCCGTCTTTTGCCATTTGCTCGATCAGCCGACATGACGAGGGCTGATCTTGAGCCGGATGCCTTCTTGACCTTTCGGGGTTAGGAAGGCACAAGACGAGAGCGAAACAACGTTTTTTGAGTACGGGGCCTCTTGTGTCTGCCTTTGTACACCAGATGGAGGATCCCGTAATTTATCTGTTGTCACATAATACTACTACTGTCTTCAGAGTTGTAAATGTTCCATGCGTCTACAAGTGTACTGGTATGAATACTGCTACGTTGCCGTGTGAGGGTTCCGCCCCTCCCCCCCATTCCAGTCTCTCTTGAGATACAACGCCACTTTCTCCAAACCCCGACCCCAACAGAAGTCCGGGGACGGCTTGGGTAAAGGATGATCGATTTCTCAATGAAGACGAAGCGTCCGCATGAAGGCTTCTAGAATCCCCAGACACGACGTGCGCATCAGGCAAAGACATGGACGATCAACTCATTTAACCTCAACACCATGCATGCACTAGATGGTTGGGTTATCGGGCAGCAGTTCGGCACGTAGATTTTGAAAGGAAAGAAAAGCTAAAACTTTCTCGTCCGCTAGACCTCTCGAGCTAACCCCAGATTTGACTGACTTATTGCTTCTACGCCGTTTGAAAGAAAAAAAGAAAAAGAGAGAAACCCATATCTCATGCGCTCTTGCCTTCGGGGCAGTTTCCAATGCCGGTCTTAGAGAAAAAAAAAGTAAAACACCAGAAAATAAAACATTATGAATCTTTTGTAGAACTCCTCTGCCATATGCATAAAATCGTATCAATCGCTCGTTGTGTGGGGGTGAAGATCCCCTCAAAAACATGTACGTAAAAAAAAGTGTGGAGGGGGGGGTTCGCGACGCGGTCGGGACCGAAACCCCGAACTTCGGAGTCTTGTTAGAACGAGAAATCGCGTGTGGCAAAATCTTTCTTCCAAGTCTTCCAAGTCTGTCCGGTGTCACCGACGAGTGAACCAAAGGGCGAATGCGGCCCTTCTGAAATGGACGGGTCGGGTCCAGCCCATTCCAGCTCATCCTACACAAAAAGCTAAAAGCCATGTGTATGTGTGTGTGTGTGGGGGGGGGGGGGGGGGGGGGGGGGGGGGGGAGGGGGGGAGTCGACGAGGGGAATGCGATGGTGTGGCACACCTAAATGACGCTCTGATGGTGTTGGTGGCGGGCGGAGGCATTTTCCCCGTCTGATTTTATGATATGCCCGTGTATGTGTGTCGAAAGAGCCGCAATTTCCCCTTGTGTTTGTTTCTCGCCCTTGGATTCTTTTCACGCCTCCTATCGAGGAATGGAGGGTTTTTTTTTGGTTTGTTTTGTTTAAGAATCTTCAAAGTTCTGTCGGCTGACAGTAGGAGACGATTCTTCGGTGGTGGGAGAGCAGTCGTCGTCGTCGTCGTCATCGTCGTCGTCGTCGCCTGGCAAGTATAGGCTGGGCGCACGCGTGCAGCAGGGACTGATGCCAATGTAGTCCGGGGGAACGACCTGACTGAGGCGGCTGGGGCTGGAGCCAAAGGAAAAATCAAAGGCCGAGAGCATCTCCTGATGACGAAGGTTGGACTCGGTCAGGGGCTTGTCGCGGGGATGGATGACACCGGTGGTGCGCCTCCGGCGACGCTCCTGCTTTTTGTCCTCCCTGTCCTCTTTGCGCTGCTCCTTGTCCTTGCCCTTGCTGGACCGGTTCCAGGGGAGTTTGTCGGTCAGCTTGCCGGATGAAGAGGACGACGACTGGGCACTTCCGTTGCTCGTTGCTGGGGTGTTGCTGTCCGCCTGAGAGATGCTTCCCGTCGAAGAGGATGAGAGATTCGACGAGGACGAGCCGGGAAGCACGCGGCGCAATCGCTCACGAATAGCCATTGTGTATGGTTGTGTATGTGTGGCGTTGGTGCTGAAGACGAAGAGAGAGGGTGCAGAGCCGCAGCGTAGATCAGATGCGTGTAGGGGGGGGATTTGGCAAGTCTCTCCTTGTACCGGATCTGATCTGTACAGGCTGGGGGTGTCCTCGCTGATTTACATGAATAGTCACGATAACCCGGAAAGAGAGGGAAAGAAAAGAAAAGGAAACAAGTTGGTGACGATGGAGAGATTAAGAGAAATAAATAAATTCAAGATGTCTGGGGAATGGGGAAGAGAGGGCAGGGCGTTTCACTTTATCTACACATGGGGCAGACACTCTCACACAATCATTGTCAATCAGAGAGAGAGGAGGGGGGTTACCACGTTGGGCGATGTGGATTCGGTAGGTCCGTCGGGGTCATCTTGATGACCGAACAAGGACTGGATGCTTCTAGGTGGCTTTAGTGGACTTGAGGGCCTTGGCAGGCGACCGGCGCTACCTGTACTTGTATACATGTACCGAGGACATACCCGCACCACTGCTTAAGAGGAGGCTACGGAGCGCCTGTACATATTATATGATATAGGGGAGTGTGTGCAGGCTAATCTGTACATGTACGCCGGGAAGGTGGTAGGTGACCCACACCTCAAGTTGCCACCACCAACCACTACGACGATAACTCGCTTCTAGAAAGAAGAGAGAAAAAAAAGGAGAGCCGTCGCATGCCAGCGCTATCCGCGCTTCGACGTTCATACAGATGACAGGATGCACACCAGGGAAGAAGAAGAGAAATTCTCGGATATATCTGAGCACCGAACTTTTCCTCATTTCAAGTGGTAGTCGTAACAGAGCTATAGAGATGCTTTCAGACCTTGTTTTGCCCTGCCCCTTATGTTATGTACAAGGTGAGACGGGACCGGTCGCAGCTTCTGAGCTCCATAGTATCTCTTGGTTGATCTTTTTTTTTTTGGATACTAAATATAAAAGAATAAAATAAAAAAAGTCTCGGGCGCGCAGATGCTGCTGCCTTGGGATGCATTGTTCGTCGCGAGGCAAAAATGCCCAAGTACAGAGTACGGAGTACCTGCTCATTGGTAAAGAACAGACAGAAAAAAGCCGCACAGACCATGGACCCTCCCCACGGAGCATCAACTCACTTGCTCCATCTCCACATCCTGCGTTATCGTCAGCGCGGAGCCTGGAGAAGAGAGATAGCTGGGTATTACTTATCAAAGTCACCGAGGTCAGAGAAGGAGGGCGGGGATTATTCGGGATTTTCTAGTCTAGATGACGCCACGTAGCCTCCACATACTTGGCCCCCCCCGACTCCTGCAATTTACAGCGCTGAACGCGCGGACAATAGGTCTGTTGGTCCGCTGTAACTCTCCAACAACGTACGGAGCACGGAGTAATCTGTACTCGTACTCGTAAACCTGTACAGGTTATAGATTACGAGTAACAGTAATGGTATCAACGCCGACTGGATTGAATGACCGGGCTGTACGTAGTGATTGGAGCGCGACGGGACAGAGCCGAACCAGAACAGAAAAAAACTCGTGCACACCCCCATCGTACGTCACTCGGCTCAGTACGCCCGAGCTATCACCGCTGCCGGTTATCGTCATCAACTTGTCGGCTTCGGACATGCTCCCCCAGTTTTCTATCTTATCCACACACCGCATCTGTAACGAACCTCGTGACGCTTTCTCGCTCTTTCTTTTTCTCTCTGTTCCCCGCTGACGACACACCGATGGCTTTGCTTAGCCTACCTCAGATCCTTCATCGTCCCGTGTCTTATGTCTTTCCCCCCCGCCACCTCTGCTGGCCCTACATTTGAAGTTGAACATGGCGGCCTGGCATTGCAGGGGGCACGTCATCGCCTCATATCACTGGATATCATCCTTCTTTCTCCATCCACTCTTTTCTTGTTCTGTCGTCTTCTCCTTCTTCCCCACCTCCGCCATTTCCGGCACATCGTCACCAGACGGAGCCTCATATGCACAGGTGACGGTGCGCAGAGTGAGGACGCACAAGTGACGAGGCGCAAATCATCACGAGCAGATATCGTCATTCTTGCACCTGTCCGTTTTCATCTAGATAGATCCATCTCTCATCCACCGTCACCTGCCTGCTGGCACCTCCTTTCTTCGGCCACCCGTCCACCTGCCGCTTGAGTGTACGGAGCAGCATCGAACCGGTCTAGGGAACCCGAAGGCCTGGGCGTGCTGCAGGAATACGGACGCAGACGACAAGCTGCGTCACTACCGTGTAGCATCGTACGCCGCAGACAAGTAGGTTGGTAATTTTATCTCGCAGACCCGATGCAACTTGCATGGCTGGTGCCTGGAGTCCATCCCGTACTCTCCTCTCCCCTCCTGGCCCTCTCCAGGATTCTATGGCAGTACTACCCCACAGACACCTCCACACTTACCATGCCGTACATGTAACTCTCTATGTGCCCTTACCACGTTGGAAAGGGCCGCTTTCTCGACGGCGGCGGTCTGCTCGTAAAGACACGGCGCTGCCCGCATTATTTGTGCCGGAACTGATGTGTCTGCCGTCCCTGGTGTGTTGCCTGGGCAGCATGCAGGGCGGTGTGGAGGACTACCTATCCCTAGGTGATGCATTGTTCTTGGACTTTCAAGAGAAGTAAGAGTCATCCATCACGCGCTGGAAGTGCACAGATGTTGCTTGGAATGAATGCCGTGTTTACCCGCAGACCGGTCAAGATTGTGTGGCGTGTAGTCGGATCATTGGGCACGGCCGAGGGCTGGCATAGACTTCTGTCTCAAACAGTATCGTGTAAACATGGAGACCTGGCATGATATCGTCTTGCCGGCCACAGTTCAACCTCGGGGCCAGGACGTGGGCATGGGGAAGGGCTCCTTCTGTGAGGTCAGACGGAGGCAATATAGCTGGCTGCTGGCTTCCCTTCGCACGTCGCACATCGCCATCATCGCCATCATCCATCCATTTGGTCGTTCTCTCTGCCGATCAGTATGAGCACAACAGATTCTCACCTGACCGTGTGTGCATTGAGAGTCAAAAAGTCTGCGAGTATTCTTGCCAGCTATTTATATCTTCCCGGATACAAGAATATTCCCTTACAGATTCAAAGTGTCTCGGAGTCGAGTGCTTGTTGGCTCCTGCCCGACCAACACTTTTTCGTTGAAGCGCCGTGGCGCCTTCCGTCTCATTCTACGGAGTAATACAGAAGGGTCCCCCTCTCCTCCCCCACCAGCCCCCTCCCTCCCTTTCTCTTTTCAGGGCTAAAGAAAGACGAAGAAGAAGGAGAAGAAAGGAAGCATATAAGACATCATCATCTTGCCTCTCTCTTCTAAATCTAACCAGCTACAGCTACACGTGCTGATCTATGCTCATTATCTGACACTGATGCTGCTGCTGCCAATCTACTATTGCGCAATAGGCCTACAGGCTACAGCCCACAATACTTCGGCCCAGGCTGGGGGGGGGGGGGGGGGGGGGGGGGAGAGGATTGGAATAAATGCAGGGTGCCGGTCATCGGCATGGTCGGAGCCAAGACCCTGCCATTGACTTCTATTATTATTTTATTACTGCAAGTAAGTACCCGAACACGTGGTATGCCTTACCTTACCTTGTGCTGAGCCCCCTATGAAGCCTCATTCTCCTACACATTTTCGCGACTGGTTTCGCATCACATCTCGTTTCCCCAACCATGCCGCATTGACTGCTAGCTGCAACACTTCTCGGAGAGCCCCCATCTCCTTCAGCTGTCTACTTCGTCACCGCGACGACAGCGTCCGGCGCCCAACGCATATAACCGACTAACCGAATATCGCTCCCATCGTCCCCGCCTTCGGTCACTGACATCATGGCCATCTTGTCCCCCCGATTATCGAGCTCCCACAGCAATGGGGAATCGTCCGAATCTGCCCCCGACTCCTCAAATGCCCTGGCCGTAGACGAAGCTGCACTCGACGAGCAATCACCACTGTTCTTCGATAACGAGGACGATGCTCCTATCTCGAGCACCAACGTCAGCGTCGACGAGCTCCAGCGCACCAGGAGCGTCTGGTATCTGGTACTAGTCACCATCGGTATCGGTGGTCTGCAGACTGCCTGGTCTGTCGAGCTGTCCAATGGATCTCCCTACTTGCTGTCGCTCGGCCTGAGCAAGTCGCTCATGGCACTCGTCTGGATCGCGGGACCGCTTTCGGGAACCCTCGTCCAGCCGTACATAGGCATGCTCAGCGACAACTGCCGCCTGCCCTGGGGAAAGCGCAAGCCCTTCATACTGGGCGGGACTGCGGCTACGATCGTATCGCTCCTGTCCCTCGCGTGGGTGAAAGAGCTGGTTGGCGGCTTCCTGGGAATCTTCGGCGCTGACCCCGATTCCAAGGGCGTCCGTGTGACCACCATCGTCGCGGCCGTCGTCGGCATATACGTCCTGGACTTTTCCATCAACACAGTCCAGGCCTCCATCCGCGCCTTCATCGTGGACTGCGCCCCGGCCCACCAGCAGGAGGCTGCCAACGCCATGGCCAGCCGCATCCTGGGCACGGGCAACATCATCGGTTACGTAGCCGGCTACGCCGATCTGCGGGAGCGCCTCTGGTTTCTGGGAAACAGTCAGTTCAAGATCCTCTGCGCCCTGGCCTGCATGGCGCTAGGCGTCACCGTGGCCCTGAGCACGGCCACGGTGCGGGAGAGAGACCCCCGTCGGGATGGGCCCCCGGCGCGCAACCGGCCCGGCTTGATGGCCTTCTTCCGGGTCATCTTCGGCTCCATCAAGCGTCTGCCGCCCCAGATCAAGAGCGTCTGCCAAGTACAGTTCTTTTCTTGGATCGGCTTCTTCCCTCTGCTGTTCTACACATCGTCGTATATCGGCGAGATCTACGTCGAGCCATACCTAGAGGAGAACCCGCACATGACACCCAAGGAGCTGGAGCACCTGTACGAGAAGGCGACGCGGATCGGGACATTTGCGCTGCTCATAAACGCCATTGTCAGCCTGTCTACCAACGTCCTGCTACCATTCTTCGTCGCTCCGACGTACGATGGCCTGCCCATGGTGACTGCTGAGGGATATGGCACACATAAGCAGTCGTCGTCGGTGCTGGATCGCTTGCGGATACCCGGACTCACCCTCAAGAAGGCGTGGTTCCTGTCTCTCATCCTCTTCTCGGTGTGCATGCTCTGCACCGTGTTCGTGCGATCGGTGCGCGGGGCGACGGTCCTGATAGGCCTCGCCGGTATCACATGGGCCGTGGCCCTGTGGGCGCCGTGGGCCATAATCAGCGCGGAGATCAGTCGTCGAGACGCGCTCCTGCGCTCGCAGCGCAGCCATGGCGTGAGCGTGGGGGACGAGTTTGAGTACGACGGCGAGCACATGTCTGCCGGCGAGCAAGAGAGGACGGACCAGGCCGGCGTCATTCTGGGCATCCACAACATGGCGATCGCGGCGCCCCAAATATTGGCGACGTGCGGGTCGAGCATCATCTTCGGGATATGGCAGAAACCGCGCGGCACCCCCGGCGACCACAGCGTGGCCATGGTCATGGCCGTGGGGGGCATCTTTGTCCTCGTGGCGTCGTTCTTCGTGTCACGCATAAAAGACGACATATCTGAGGTCGAGGGTGCCACAGCAGATGGAGACGGAGAGGAGACGCGTCGGCTGTACAGGAGGAGCACTACCAGGCACACATGAATATACAGACTGCACATATTCCAGATTGAACTCGTCTCGGGCGGCCCCGCCGTGTGGTGGTCCCGCTGCTCTCGCTCGTACCCAGGCAACCTTGGATGTGATGTGTAGCTCCTCCCCGCCGCCGCCGCCGATATCTACCAAGGCATGACATCAGGTGTGGCCTCCTCTCCCCCTCCCCCTCCCCCCCCCTCCATGGCAACGGTGACGACGGCAGGAGTGCAGGCCCCCAGCTGGGCGCGCGTCTCCCCCGGCAGAGGCCCGTGATTGCTATCGAACGAGGTCAGACCGCCCCAGTACACGCACCACGACGTCGAGCCATCGCAGTACTGCATGTGACAGGTGTATATCGTCGGAGTCGGGGTCAGGGTCGAGGTCGAGGTCGGAGAGGGAGTCAGACCGGGTGTAATGGTCATGTTGGGGACTGTGACGGGGACTGTGGCAGCGGCGGCGGCAGATGCCATGGCGATGGTGAGGATATTTAGCATAGTCGAGGTTGTGATGTTGGGGACGTTATCCTCTCTTTTGCTCTTTCTCTTTCTCTTCGTCTTTCTTTATAATTTACAGTTGAAGAATAGAAAGACGGAGTTATCTATGGAAGACTTGTGATTTGGAATGGGATGAGATATGGTGGGTTTTATATTCTTTACATCTGTAGGATTTACGTTTTATACTCTTTATACTCTCGACTATCTGTCTGCATTGTCTACGGGAGTGACACGGCGTGAATCACATATCAAAAGGTAGCAGGATCTTGTGTGTATGCATGTGTGTTGTTGTGAATCATGTAACCGTCCAAGTTGCACAGTCGTCAAAAGATAAATTAGTGGCTTCGGAGCTAAAAAAAAAAAAAAAACAAAAAAAAAAAAAAAAAAAAAGCCCAGGAAACAACCCTTCAACCGAGCCCGTGATGCACACACAACCCCCCATGGTCCCATCCCGACACCGACCTGCCACAGCAGCATACGCAGAAGAGCACACCCGAGGCCCCCTTGATCATCACCCCGGAGAGCACATGCGCAAGAAAGGTTGTTGTAGCCCTACCCTCTTTGAGAGGACGTACTTACCCAGCTGAGCAGGTTGAGGGCGGCGGCATTGACGACAGCAGAAACAATCGTGGTGGTGGCCGCGGCATCGGCACTCCGGAGAGGTGCGCGTCGAACTCGGTCACTCTGGGAGCCATACGGTCACACTTAAAACATCGACGATAGAAACACAAAACAGAAGATAGAACCGAATAAAACAATCAATTCGTCGCATAGGCCACATCTCCAAGGCATGGTATCCTGATGATGTTGGGGGAAAAAACGAATGTGCAAAGAATGTACAAAAAAAAAGAATGTAAAGAAGTGTAGTGTGAAATGATCCGGTAACCTTGACCGTTCAAGATCCTCAGCTCTTTTCATGGAATCCCCCTCTAGAGTAAAACAGCAAAAAGAAAGAGTCTTGAAGATCTTGAAAAAGAAAGAAAGAAACATGTTTTTTTTTTGAAGAATATATGTGCATAACATATATAAGAAGAAAAGAAAAGGGGGGTTAGGGATCCAACCTAAGCGGAAAAGAAAAAAAAAACCCCGTATTCTTGAACCTTTCCTCCCCCAACGCCAACCTTGTTTTACCACCGATCCAACCGATATATCATCATTCGTTAATAGATAACGAAGGGAAGAAAAGAAAAAAGAAAGAAAGAAGAATACCCTTGAAGAAGGGGGGGGGAGGGGAGAAGAGAAGGCAAAGGGAACCTGGCTGGGACTCTCTACCAGTGCCTGTGGTTGCGACGGTGAAAGTGGTCCCTGGCAGAGAGGGTAGAGTTGCTGCCCTGGGAGTAGACGGCGATGGAGTTCAGGTTCCAGTATGTCTCGTCAAACTCCTCCGGGTGGTTGCCGACAAAGTCGTTGCAGGTCGCGGCCAGGGCGCTGCAGGTGGGGTTGGAGTTCCAGACGGACGCCTCTCCGGCCCAGTCCCCGCAGAAGGTGGTGTTGATGATGATGTTGTTCTCGCGGAAGTACTGGTCCAGGTCGCAGCCCTGGCCGCCGACGAAGCGGGCGGTGGGATTGCCCCAGGTCGACGGGTCGGGGCTTCCCGGTCCCGAGATGTCGGCCGGGATGGACGAGCGCGGGAAGAACCAGACGGAGATGTGGTCCGACGTCCACTCCATGGCGTAGACCCCGCCCTCGATGGCGTTGAAGCCGGTGCCGAAGCCCTGCGTGCTGTACGACTGCTGGGCGCAGCCGGGGCCGCCACCCTCGGCGCCGCAGTCTCCGCTCTCCATGCTGGTCGACGATAGGGTGCCCTCCTTGACGATGTTGCAGCCGGGGCTGGTGTGGAGGGTCATGGCCGTCTTGTCGGCGTTGTTGACCGCCTCGATGATGTCGATCTCGCCCGAGGACGGCCAGTTGGGGCCGAACATCCACAGCGCGGGCCAGGACCCGCACGTGCTGCTGGGCATGTGCGTGATGTCGCTGATGAAGAGGCCGTGCGTGAAGGACCGCTTCGACTCCAGCCGGACCGACTTGCGGCCGCCCGAGGGGTTCACCTCGGTCGCGTCCGAGCCCAGGTGGATCTTGTTGTTGTCCTGGCTGGCGAGGCCCATGTCAAAGGCCGTGTCGGCGTCGACGTAGTTGACGTAGCCGTTGGTCGGGTCCTGCTCCGAGAAGAAGGAGAACTCGTCAAAGAAGTTGTTGGCGTCGTAGTACTGGTCCAGGTGGTACTGCGTAGCACTGGCCACTCCGGCCAGCACGGCAACGATGCCGGCGCTCTTGTAGGCGTCGAAGAGCATCTCGGTCTGCCTTGTCTTGTGTGTGTGTGTGTGTGGGTGGGTGGGTGGAATGAAGGAATGAAGGCGGGCTCGACCGTTTTCTCTGTTTGTTTCTGGTGATCCAGCCACGAGAAACAGAAGATGTTTCGGTAGTTGTGAAAGAGAGACTGAGAGTCCGGTGGTGGATGTATATAACAAGTTGTCGCGAGTGCTTATATCGTCTCCGCCAGCGTTAAGATAGGTTCCAGCCTGAATAAGGAATGCAATGAATCGTTGTGACAATGATGTCGTCTATACGATCTAGGGGTGGCTGGTGATCTGCTCTTTTCTCTCTCTTCTTTCTTGGGTGTGTGGATTGCACGAAAGGACAGAAATGAGACCCAGCTCGACTTCTGAACCAAAAAGAAAGGAAAAAAAAAAAGAGGTAAAAATGATGAGGAAAGCAGGGAAAAGGACTGGCCTGGTTGGAAAATAACCCAAAGGAAGGACAAGAGGACACTCTCAGAGCTGCTGAAGAGAAGGAGGAGGAGGAGGGAGGAGGAGAAGGGCGGCAGAGGAGGAGGAGGAAAACTATATAGCTTACAAGTGCAAGTGCGTATAAGACAGGGCAAGGAGGTCAGGAGAGGGAGAGGGAGAGGGAGGGACTACTGCTGCATAGTCTTGTTCGGGAGTGATACTACTGCAGTCTGCTGCATACGAGTACTACGGGTGTAGAGTACGTATACACACACACTCACGTTCACAGAGAGAGAGAGAGAGAGAGAGAGAGACTACGACAGACTATCAGGACAAAGGGCCAGTGCGCTGCAGAAGCGGCGACAAAAAGTCGTAAGCTCGTGAGCAGGTACGTGGTGAAGTAACGGGACCTGAATATTGTAAGCCAAACACCCACTCACACATGCAGAGTACGGAGTACAGAGTCAAAGACACCCTTGTCTTTTTCTGGGTACGTACCGTCAAACGGACTGACCACTTACCAAGCTGGGGAGGTGACAGGCCAAAGCGGCATGGTCCATAGGCTATAGCACGGCTAGGTTACATCGGAAACAGGGGAAGGGGAGAAGAGAGGGGAGGGGGGCGAGGGACCAGAGGTACAGTCGAACGTACATGGACCCCACAGAGTCGGATGGGGAGCGAGCGGTTGGAGAGGGGCGGGCGGTACGAGTTGGATCGTCACTGTGGCCTCTCTGCACCGAGTCAAGTATCTCTGTACGAGTACCATGACGACGTACTCCCTTCTCCACGGCCGGGTCTTTTTCTTTCTCTCTCTCTCTCTCTCTCTCTCTCTCTCTCTCTCTTTCCTCGCATAAAGCAGACGAAGGAGATGAGAGGATTAAATGGGAGGGGGTCGGTGGATGGGTCTCGAATGGGTCACTGCGTGGATGGTATGTCCCTAGTAGTAGTAGTAGTATGGGATAATGTGTTAGTGGCAGAGAGCACAAGAGGCACGGCGGCACCAAAGAAGACAAGGAAGAGACAGAGGAGATTTACGAGGGATCATGGGCGGCAGGCGCTAGTGGCCACTCAGAGGCCCCAGAGGGCTGGAAGCCGGCAGTCAGCGTGTGCGTGGTCCAAGGAGAAGATGGTACCGGGCAGAGCGTCGTGGCGGTGGAGGGTAGGAAATGGTTGGTCGGGAGGTGACGAGGAGTGGTGAGAGGCTGAGGGTCGGTAGACAAGTCGAGACAACGGTGGCGGGTGGATATGGAGATGTTCTCGTGGGAATAATTGGGGACGGGCGGGTGCATAGTACGAGCAGCAGAAGTAAGGGTGGCAGTCTGGCGATGTGAGCTAAAGAAAGAAGCCAAGGGTGTGATAGCGTGGCGTAGTACGTATCGGCATGGTAGGCTGGTGCGTATGAGCAGCTCGTGGTGGGGGTAGGTGCTAGACCGTAGGAGAATAGTAATATACTATACTACAGTAGGAGAGCACAAGTGAGGAGTGGGTGAGTGAGGCGCGAGTGAGTGAGGTGATACCGGAGTGAGGTACCGGAGAAGAGTACAGGTTGTGGAGAGGCGAGTGAGGCGCCTAGTGGAGAAGGCGCCAGGGTAATGATCCAACTGGCAGCTACGACGGCAACTGCGCTCACAGGGGAAGGAGCGACGATACGGAGAGGGCAAGGAAGGAGCAGACAGGTTGGCAGGAACATGATGGAAGAGGGAGGAAGCTTACGAGTACCGGTGGCGGTACGGATTATATAATTCCACGATTCAATATCATCAGGTCGGCATCACCGGTCCTCTACCCTCTACGAGAGCTCGTATAAAAAAAAATTGCGATGCCGACGTGATGAGAGCAAGGGCAGTACGGAGTAATACGTGCAGTGTTATCGATATGTATAATATGTGCTCGTATATTCGTACAAAGTAGCAGTATCAGCAGTAGATGTAGCATCAGTGAGTACTGTACTGCTCGTACAGGTAGCGATCACGTTTACCACTACAGGGGGAGGGGGGGGGAGCACCGTGCTCGTCGTACAAACTACTCCGCACCGAGGGAATCTACTCCACCGCACATATCGATATAGTAAGGTAGTAAGTGGCAGTAATGGTAGTCATAGTCGTAAGTAGCGGTAGTAAGTAGTACGTAACAGTAGTAGTAAGAAGTAGCTGTAGCGAGTGGAAAGTAACTGTAGTAGCAAGTGAGAAAGTCACTGCGGTAGTAGGTGGAAAGTCACTGCAGTAGTAAGTAAGAAAGCAACAGTCTGCTCCCTCCCGTCGCCGACACCGTAATCTGTACCGTCTCTAGCATCAGCCATTTGTAAAGACGACGGCACAGTCAGAGACCAGATACATGTACGTCGCGATGCAGTACGTAGAGAGGGGGAAGAGAGTATCGATACTTGCATTCCGTCCAGATGCACTGTTTCACATCCAACCTCTCCCTTTCACCTTGGCCTCGTTAGGATAGCCGCTACCGAGTGCTTTTAGCGCCGCATGGCAGAGACACGCGTCTCCTTTCCGTCTAGTCTTGAAAGTCTTAGTCTTCCACCCTCTGGCTATCTACGTACCTCTCGTAGTCACTCCTCCGAGTCCCTCTACGAGTGAGTCTATCACAGTATTACGTCGTACATGTAGCCGTACGGAGTAACGCACTCGTACGTAGTCGCCCTCCCCTCTAGGCCTCCCCTCTAGGCCTCCCCTCTAGCCTCCCCGTACTCCTGCTCTTGAAACACGCCAGAAGCCCCATCTGCAGGAACCGTTACAGGGATTTGCCGGTGAGTTGTTTTAGTTGCCTTTTCTCTCCGCTTCTCTCTCTCTCTCTCTCCCTATCTCCCTCTCTCTAGTTTCGTTTCGTTTCCTCTGTTCCATGTTCATACCTCTTTCATCAGATTGGAAGAGGGAGAGAATGAGGAGAAGAAGAAGAAGAAGAAGAAGAAACTGCAGACTACATGCAAACCATCACGGGTCCTACTTTTGTACTTGTCCACACAAGTCGACGATCCTCTACACACGCATGAGCCGGCACACACATGATATGACCATCATCTCATGTCCCTTCTTTTCTTCTTGATGATAATAGTACAGTCAAGTCATTGAAAAAAAAAAAATTAAATTAAATTAAATTAAATAAATAAAAAGATCATCTCTACACGTTATTACTCCATCAAGACAAAAGAAGAAGAATAAAAGACACCGTCGACCTTTCTACCTTGCCGCCGACCTCTTCTTTTTTTTGGCTCCACCCAACCATCCTCCCAGCCGCCCGGTGAAGCGCTCACGAGATCAACTCTTTACGAATCATGGATGTTTCTTTTCTTGACCAGTTTCAAGTAGGACAAGATAGCCGCTCATCTGTACTCTTTTTTTAAAAAAAATAAAAATAAGTTTAAAAATAAAAAGAGAAAAAGAAGAGGAAAAAGCTTCTACTTGGCAATCTCATGTGCCGAGGGAGTCGTGTCGTGCCATGCCATGACGAAAAGTGATGGCATCATCCGGCCTCCAGCCAACCCCAATAATGCGACCTAACTTTGACCTTTCCTGCCACCTTGCTAAACGGTCCATTATATCCATGGTGAGACGACGCCGTTGAACCTGAGAAACATGTTTACACAAAGGGAAGAGGAAAAGGAACAGATGGGCTACCTCCGACCGGCACAACCTGCCCGGTTCTGCCTCTTTTTTTTTTTTTCAATTTTTTAGTTCTGACCTCCCTGATTCTTTACCCCCCTCCTCCTCCTCCTCCTCCAATATGCATCTCACAACAGAAACAAGCAAAGAAAAGTATAAAAAGAAAAAAAAACTTTCTCGCTCGGTCCGGGCCCGGATCTCGTCGGGGGGAAGAAGAGATCGACGTTGGATGGCAGGGGTTGGGGGTTTGGGGGGGGGGGGGGGGGGGGGCGCGATGCTCAGGGGTTTCTGACAGCCCTCTTCCATCGTGTGTCTTTTCTCTCTCTCCTCTCTCCCTCCCCCCTCCCTCCCTCTCTCTCTCTCTCTCTCACCTTGACCCAGAGGTACGGTCCAGATGGGTACGCTCATCCGGATGGATGCGTCTCCATCTCTTGGCTCGAAGGGCTTGCTCTTGTTCTTCTGTCCCCCTGTTCATTTCGCCAAGAGATTGGGGTGGCTGGTCCGGCGTCACATCAAACACGCGATGCTCTCTTGTCTCTCCTTGGCATTCTTTTTTTTTCTTTTCCTTCTATTTCTCCATCTCTCTCCCTCTCTGCTGCTCTCCACCTACATCGCCAGATAGCTTGGTAAACTAGCAAGGTCGAAACAGTAGTACGTGTGCATCTGTAGGTTCATCGTGACCCTTTTTTGTTCCACTCATGATCTTTTGCATCTAGGCCTCGTTAGGGTTATTATGTATAATACTGCCATTTAGATTACTAGTAACACCCGAAAAGTCTTACCCTCAGGGCTTTCGCAACGGGTACCAAGTTCCGGAGAAGATCAGATAAGAGTAGAGGATCTGTGAAGAGAAAGAGAGGAGGGGGGG